GAAATCTTACTAAAACACCTTTGATTTGTACTTCAAAAAGTTTGCTACATTTTTAGCCTAGAAAATTTATTTTGTTTCTATTACTTGTCTTCTTAAATCAGTTAGCAGTGCCTTAAGTTAGATATAATTTACCATAATAGCACTTTTTGTATTTTTGTAGGAATTTGACAGATTGTGGCTTTGCATAAATGTAGAAATTTTTTTTGTTATTTGAAAATTAAAATGATGCAAATGCTAAAATTTAATAGTTTCAAGGAATGAAATGAAACAACATAGCTAAAGTCATGCTTTCTGAATGTAGTATACTGTAGCTGAATGCCTCTATTAGAAATGAGGTCACATCCTTGTTTCTATAGCATATTTATAAATGGCATTTTTAAAATGTGACGATCTTATCTTACTTTTAACTGTTGTTATGCCAGTTATATTTTTTCATCCTTCTTTCTTCAAAAGGAGACAGATGGAGTTGAGATTTACAGTGGAATGACTGGCAATGGTCAAGGCATTGAGATTTGTAGTTGATAATGTCCCAGTTTGTTAAAAATAACGTAAGAGAATTTTGACTGGAACTATAGTACTATTGAATTTATGTACTAGATGTTACTCAGATTTTAGTGTTCTCGTTTTCCTTCCAAACTTTACTTTGTATATTGTTTGTGTATTTTGGGGAACTTTCCTTGTGACATCTGTGTTATGTAAGAAGAATCTGTTTTATATTAGTGTGTTGTCAATGAATGTTGGTGATAAAAGATGTTTCTAATTGTATTATGTATTAATCACCTTTTAGTTTTTCCCTTTGGTGGCTCAGAACTTTGAAAGCAAATTTGAAGCATCCACTTGAATCTTGGATGCACCACTTCAAATGCAGTCTGGCATTCTTGAAAGCTGTCATTGTTGTTTGCTGTGTATATGCCATTTTTCTGGCATCAGAAAACAGTCCTATACAAATCCCCATCCTAACAGCAAAAGTGTTATCAGAGGCTTGAGACCTCACCCTAGATATCTGGAGATCACCTTGATGCACCTGGAATCTGAAGCATGGGCATAGTGTTTTACTTCAGTTGTCTGCTGTATAGGGCTGGGATTTTTTATTTTCTCCCTGATAATATTATAAAGAATAAATATAAATGGAAAAAAATTTTAAATGACATAATTCTAAATGTTTGCTGTCAATTTCTGTGCTTGTTTCAATGCAGATGGATTGCAAACAAGTCTGGGACCAAAACAGTCCATACACCACACTTTTAGTACACTCCTCAGAGCCAGGGATTAGCACATTCTGGCTTAGAGGCCAGCCTTCTGCTTTTGTATGGCCTGCAAACCAAGAATTGCTTTTATGTTTTAAAATGATTTTTGAAACTCAGAACACATGAAAATCCTATAAAATTCATATTTCAATCTCCTTAAGTTTTATTGGAACAAAGCTGTGCTCATTCATTATTGTCTGTGACTGCTTTTGCACTATAATGGTAGGTAGCATCAAGGCAGGGTTGAGAAGTTGGATACAGAGACAGTAGGATCCATGAAACCTGAATAGCTTCTGTTTGGCCTTTTACAGAAAAAAATTGCTTACTTCTTCCCTAAAACAAAGCATGCAATTAATAGTTATTTGTGCAGTTGACAGTACAAACAGGGTATGGGTTTTAAAATGTGCTTTAAATATTTAAATATTATCAGTAGCTAATAGGTATTGTCAAAGTTAAAATTCAGCCCCATTGCATTCCACTCTATGCTTTCATTTTAATTTTTCCAGCAATCTTATAGCCTTTCATGAAAGTTAAATAAATTTAGACTTCTACTAGTCTAATTGTAGGTACTTTTATGTCTTCTAAAAGTCTTAAATCTACTGTTTTGTTTTTTAATTCATATTTGATGAATTTAAAATGGTTAAATATTTTCTCCCGTAGATTTGATTATCATAAATATTATCATAAATAATTTTACTCTGCAGTATATATGCGTGTATCTTCAGGTCCAATGAAAGAGATATGACCTCAAAGTATTTAAGAAACGTATTTCAAAAGGACTACTCTTTTAAAAGTCACCTAAAACAAAATAAAACCATAACTAAATTAATGGCAGATCTGTGTTGCAAAATAGGAAAACTATAATAGGTAAAATACTGGTCATAAAAAGAAAGATTGAGGTTTTAGGTGACTTTGGAGGAATAGTTGAGTTTTCAGTACTTTTCCTCTACCATTCTTTAAAAGCTGTAGTATGAGTTGGGTGTGGTGGTACATGCCTGTGATCCCAGCGTTCTGGGAAGCTGAGACAGGAGGATTGCAAGTTCAAGCCCAGCCTGGACAACTTAGCAAGTCCCTGTCCCATAATAAAGAATTTTAAAAGGACTGGGAATGTAGCTCAGTGGGAAGGCCCTTGGCTTAATCCCCAGTATTGTGAAAACAAACAAAAAAGCTACAGTGTGAAAGTTCCATCATATAGCTGTCAAACTCTAAAATAAATATTCCTTTCACTCTCACATGCAACTGAAAAATAAACTTTCATAGTAGCTATTATTTCTTTTGTTTTTTTACCATTTGCATGTGATTACTCTTCAACTACATATGGTTATCAGCTTTCATTTGATTCTTGAGTCTGCTTTATGATACTCTTTGCAAACCAAATCTTCACATCAGAATTTCATCCTGAAATAAAAAATAAGTGTTCTTCCAAAAGCTTTATTTATTATGGTCACAATTTTATATTCTGGTACTTGCTGTCTTATACTTCTTAACCCTTGAGTTTACAAACATCTGAAAAATAATTCTGTTCATTGTTCATATTAAAGAATACAATATAGGGACTGGGTAGAGTGTGATATAGGGACAGTGGTCGAGTGTGTGCTTATTATGCACAAGACCCTGGGTTTGATCCCCAATACCCAGAAAAAACCCTTAAATAATACATAAGAGTCACCTTTATCTGTGGGAGATAAAGACCCCACAGTACACACCTGACACCACAGATAGTACTAAATCTTTTATAAACTATATACTTTTTTCCTGTATGCACAAATCTATGATAGTTTATAAATTTGGCACAGTAAGAGATTAACAGCAATAACCAATATGATAGAACAGTTACCACAGTGTATTATAACAATTGTTTTCAATGTGATTGCTTTTGTATCTTTTGTAGTTTAGAAGTGCAAAACCAGCATGAATTTCTTTTTCCCCTCTTCACAATTTCATGGATAGAAGATTTGTTCTTACCGTGTATCCAAGCAACTTTGCATATGAGGTTTTTTCTTTACTTATTGAGAACTTTCTCCTTTTCACTTTACACATTCTCTTTTTGGCATACCTAATTGTAAGCATCACTACTTTTGTGCTTTGGGCCCATTATTAAACAAAATTACTGTTACTCTAACATAAACACTGCAATACCCTTATAATTGATCTGATAACTGAGATGATTATCATGACGGAAGGGTATACAGCATAGACACCAGAAAAAGCCATGATTCGTGTCCCTGATGAATGAAGCAGGACTATGTGAAATTTCATCATGCTACTCAGAGTGGCACACAGGTTAAAACTTAAGATTTGTTTATTTTGGGGAGTTTTAGCTTAATATTTTCTAACTGGTTGACTGCAGGCATGTGAAACTGCAGAAAGCACAATTGCAGGTAAAGGGGGACTACTGTAGAAAGATCTCACTGCATCTTCTCAAGCCACAGCTAGTTGTAATATCCCTCATCCAAAACTGCTCAAAATCTAAGATGAAAACTTCAGGCTTATCAAAGGAAGTGGCTCAAAACTTGTAATCAAATTGTTTATTTAAACAGCTTTTTAATACATAGGTTGAGTATACCTTATGTAAAATGCTTGGGACCAGAATGTTTTAGTTTTTGGAAAATTTGCATATATATAATAAGATATGTTCAGATCGGGGTCCAAGTCCAAACATGAAATTCATTTTTGTTTGATAGATATTCTATACACATAGCCCAAAGGTGATTTTATATAATATTTTTAGTGCACCTGTGTTTTGACTGTGACCCATCACTTGAGGTCAGGTGTGGAGTTTTCTACTTGTGATACCATGTAGGTGCTCAAAGTTTCACATTCTGGACAATTTTGGATTTGGGGGCAAGAATACTTAATCTACTTATTAGTTTATTCATTGGTTGGGTAGTACAACAACAACACTCCCCCACACACACACACACCCCAGATGGGGCTGAGATATACTGTGTATTAATAAAGTATTACATCTGGATTTTGCTTAAACAATGATTTTCTCGTTTGTAGGAGCCTCTGTCACTAAGAATTCTCTGAAGGTACTTTACCCAAGACAGTGTGTGTTACATACTTTTCTTAGTGTCTGTTTCTGTTATGGTGAACCTGTCTGCTGTTGCGCACATGCTGTAGGTTTGCCACCACTGATCTATTTCACTTTAGTGATTGAGTTTGTATTTTTAAAATTTTTTGATGGAAAAATTGTTACAGTTCTTTTTTGCAACCTAACTACAGAGGACCAGAGTTGCATGCATTACTGTGTCTGTTAAACTTACAGTAAGTTTCATGTGTAAGTGGTGATCCACTAAAAGGCTTGCAGTGTTACAACTATTCTGAGAACAGGAAGCATTTGGAAATTCAGCAGGAAAGCAGCAGCAGCAACAGCCAGCCACAGTGGTAGTAAAGACAAGGCAGGCTCACAGTTAGCATATTTCACAGTGTGAGCCAGTGAGCACAGAGCTTCCCCTACTGCTGCCTGAGGGAGGCAAACCAAAGCTGTATATTGCAAGATTTTTCTAGTTTCATGTTTATGATGCCGTCATGTGATAATACTGTACCATAAGTTGCCAACTTTGCTTTACTCTGGAGTAAAGATCCGTTGCTGCAATGCCTTTTTTCTTGTTCTCTCTCTCTCTTTTTCTTGAAAGAGAAAAAATTGTGCAATGTGTGTTTATGCCTACACCATGCCGAGGCGACACTTAACAGTAAATAATCTCTGTATCCCGGAGGTAAGATACTGTTTCTGCTTTCCCTGCACAGTGCTGCTGCAGCACGGAGCTGATCCAAACATTCGGAACACTGATGGGAAATCAGCCCTGGACCTGGCAGATCCTTCAGCAAAAGCTGTCCTTACAGGTAAGAAAACAGCTACCAAATTATTTTTATCTGTGGAACTACAAGCCTGATTTTATAAAATCTTTATACACTGAGTTTTTTTTTTTTTACACTGATGAAACTAAACAAATATATATATGTCTAACTACTACTTTATTACTGATTATCTGTCTTATTAACTGCTGTGTTGTCATAAGCAATAGGATTGGTTATTCTACTTAGAATTAGAGCATTAAATCATAGCATGTTATTTACTCATATTTTATAGTTCACATCATAATGTTCTTATACCTCTTCTTCGTTGTTTCTTTTTAAGACCTTCACTATCGAGCAGGCAAGGGCAATTGTATTACTACAAAAGTAGTTTTGATTGGAAAGGCAACCTGCTGCCTACTACTTGGATCGATAGTTAAATAAAATACAGTGCTGCTTCTCCCTTTCCAGCCACTTTATATTTTCATGAGATGTTGTCAGTTTTACCATGATAGCCAGATTATTTTTAACTGGGGCAGTGTTATCTTTTTACTTTAGATAATGCAGATTTTGATCTTAAGTATTAGTTTTACTAAAGCAGATGCCAAGAACAGCAAAGAGGAAATGCTAGATTAGAAAAGACCTCTCATAACAATATAGAAAATGTTATAACTGTTATGATCTTGAGCAGCTGTTTTCATTGATCCTTATAGTCCAAATGCTGCATTGGATCTATTTTTGTTTTTATTCTTAGCACCTGAGTCCTGCTGCCTTTGCCCTCTTTCACTTAACTGACCTTTGTAATTTGGAGCCTCTGTCACTGCAGTGCTAACAGTATTGTTTAATTACATTTTAAATTTTCCCTGTTTGAAAAAAATAAATCTTTTGTTCTTAAGTTTTAGAGTCCATGCTGTGCGTTTTAAACAGAGATTCTGAAGTGAATGGAAAATGTTTATATACAGAAAGATTTGAAAAAATATACAATTTTGCTTAATAAATAAAGATAACTTCCCACTGTGCTTAAATTAACGTAATCACTGCTCAGTTAAGTAATATAATTTTTCTCAATAAAAGTTTGATTCACTTGGTGAATCAAGATAACATACACTTGAAAAATAAAGCTCTTTAAATCAGTATGGATAAGAAATTTAAATTTAAATATAGAATTTAAATAATAGTCTCAGGCCTGCTTAGGTTCCTGCAAGATTTCAGTCTCTTCTTTTAACAAAACCACAGCAACAATAGCAGCTGGTCTCTAACCAAAGGAGGAGGATAGTTGATAGAAACAGAGGTACAGTATATTATAAATGCTGAGCAAAACTGTTTCTGTATTCTGTGTCTTCCCTCTGATCTTTCCTCTTCTCCCAGCTTTCAGTGCCTGCCTGTCCATTTGTTAGATTCATTTAATGCATCACTGCTTTTAGATCCACTTTTATTTTTTAAAACACAAAGTTTAAATATAAGTTATTAAAAATGAGCACCTATCTCCTAATTTGTAATGAATTTGAGGGAAGATTATGCTGGGGAAGAACTTCGGCATAATCACTCATAGAAACTGAAGATTCCTGGAGGGCAGATACTATGACTATTAAAATTGGTTTAAAAATTATCTAGTGGGCTGGAGATTTAGCTCAGTGGTTCCACTGCCTGCCTCACAAGCACGAGATCCTGAGTTTGATCCCCGGTACCAAAAAAAAAAAAAAAAAATTATCTAGCTTTGTACTTTGCTTAGATAGCAAGATATTAAATTCTTTGTGGTCATAGGCGCAACAAGAAATTAAATGCAAAGGGGGAGAATCCAACAAAAAGAAAAAGTCATGACAATAGTAATTCAATACGTATCAGTTATAACCATCAGTGTTAATGGTCTCAATTCACCAGTCAAAAGAAATAGACTGGCAGAATGGGTCAAGAAGCAAGATCCAACAATATGCTGCATAAATTCTTTGTGGTCATAATACTGATTTTACTAATTGTTCTTTTCTGGAATGTCTACCTTTGGAAATGATATACAATTTTTGGATATGATTTAGAAGAAAAATAAATGCCTGCCTTTCAAGCACAAGGTCCTGAGTTCGATCCCTGGTATCAAAGAATAAAAATAAAAAGGGAGGTTAGTCTGGGGGTGTAGTTTAGAAGTAGAATAAATTGCCTGGTATGTTTGAAGTCCTAGGTTCGATCCTTGGCACCACAAAAGCAAATTTAAAAGGGGAGGCGTTATCTTTTAAGAGTGATGGCTAAATTCAGAGTTATTAAAGATTATTCTAAGTGATTTTGTGGGGAGAGAGGTGCAACTGTAGTAACATTACTTGAGAGTGAAGTTTTTGTTCTTAAATATTTTTTCTTTGGGAATGTACTTGCTGAAAATCTCTTTCTAACACCACATCATTTATGGTACTGCTTTGGTATATTAGCCAGAACTAGTACAAGTATGCTGTAATTTCTTTAAAGAAAATTAACAAAGTGAAAATTTCTTTTTATAGAACACTTAAAAGTATGTGCTTGATTAATGCTCTCTTATACATAAAGAATGCATGGAGTTCCACAGCACTATACAAAGCAACAGTATACCCTTAGTTTTATAGTTAAAGGACTGTATCATGCAGCTATTTGCTTTGGATTATGCTCTGAGGCATTTAAAAGTGAATTCTTAATTGGAGAGACTGATGAAACGCTTCATTAAATTATTGTGTGAGTAGATAATGTTTAGAAATCTTGAGTTTTGGGGGGGAACGTTGCTAATGACTGAAATTTTAAGTAACCAGCTAAACTTGGAAATGTTTGGGGGGGTTTTGTTCACTTTTTAAAAAATAAAAAGTTTAAAAATCCTGTAAATTTTATTGAAGGTGTTTGATATATTATGATTATGAATTTTTAAAAAGCATATTTTGGTCTTTTTTCTCATTATAAACAATACATTCAGAAATTGAGGAAAATAGTAAAAGCATGAAAAAGAAAAAATTATAATTCTGCCACCTAGAGATGACATTTTGGTATACCTTGTAGCCTTTTTTTCTACAAAGACACGTGCCCTACATTTTTTGTTTTAATTGAATCAGTCTCATATATTACATAGTTTCTGCTAAATCAAACATATACATACACATGTATGTGCAACATGGAACTTCCCAGAAGGCATTAAATATTCTGCAGCATCAGTTTATAATTATGTCATAGTGTCAGTCTATGGATATACTATTGTTTTCCAATGAATCCTCTAATATTTTAACAGTTAGATAGCTTGTTTCAGCTTTATTCTTCTATGTGAATTGAGTCATTTTATCAATTTCACTTGAATTGTGCTTCTTATCTTATTCAGGCTTTGGATACACAGACATAGTAAATACCTCTATGCTTGACTTTAAAGTACAGTATGTAAAGATTCAGAGAATGAGGAACTTCCCTATTAATGAGGTGCACTGCATGTGGTATTATTATAATTAAGCTGAAGATAGTTGACAAGAATGTTACTTGATGTGGTCTAAGAAGGATGATTGTTGACCATGAAAAGGGGACTCCCTGGGGCAAAGGCTAGAAAGTACCAGTGAGAAGTTGGGTTGGCCAAGGAGGTAGGAGTAGACTGAGACAGAGTTTAGGGAAACATAAATGACCAAAGAAATGTTTAGCATTGGCAGGCTCAAGGATGACTAAAATGTAAAGTGGTTGAGTTTGGATGGTAACAAATTTGGCAAGATAATAGGTCCTAGTAGTTTCCTAGTAAATTAGGGGAAAGGGAATGGGGAAGAAAGATATATTTATACCAAGGTGTCTAAGAAATTAAAAGAAAAAAAAGTTAACCTGTATTCATTGTACTTCTGAGAAGATGCTAATCTATGTATGTTTGCTGAGCAGCCTTCTCATCTCTGCAGAAGAAACCCACTGTGGTTCAGGCTATCAGGTAGTGTTAAGAAGCTGATGGCTTCCTGCAAAGACTGCTTTGGTGGATCAGTAAAATGTGTCTGGAATCCTACCTTTGGGGGTGGCTCTACTGCATTTCAGATGAGATCAAGATCCTTAGAATAGCTACTGAGAACTTAAATGGCCTGGTTGCTTTCTACATAGGTTTGATGCTAAGGTTCTACTCAATTCAAAATTTAGCTTTGCTTTGCTTTGCTTTGCTTTGCTTTGCTCTTTTCTTTTCTTTTCTTTTCTTTTTTTCCTTTCTTCACGCTTTGCATCCAGCCTGTTGATATTGAGGTCTACTGACCATGACAACTTCAGTCCTGGTCCACACCTTCATCTTTTCTTCTATGATGGATGTCTCTAAACTTCATTCAGTTCTCTTCACTGTAGTTGGAGTGGTCTTTCTAAGGTACAAATGAGCCCCATGTTCAGAACATTCTTTAACATATTCCCATTATCCTTAAACCCAAATTCTTTACCCTGGTCTATCATGATCTAGCTGCTGCCTTGCATATCTCTAATATTACACTCTCCTTTGCTCTCTGCTTTAGCTACAGCTAGATGCTTCCTGTCTAAACAGATGAAGCCCCATTTCTGTGTCTGGGGTAGCACTTGCTGTTTACTGAGGTGAACACTTTCTAGAATGTCTCCACCTTGGAGAAAACCTGTATCCCTGTTCATGTTTGCTTATTTTATTTTCTTGATGGATTTTCAATATCTGAAATTACATTTATGTTTTTATTTGTCCCAATAGAGTGAAAGGTTTCCAAGAGTTTGGATTTGTATTTGTCTTGTTGACTTCTTTGCCTCAGGACTTAGAAAAAATACATAAAATGATTAAGTAAACAAATATGTCTAAGGTCTGATTACTGGTAAAGGAGTAAAACATGTTTTCCAGGTCTTACAAACACTAACCACTGATTATTTGACATCTCATGGCGTATTATAATAGCTTTAATAAATTACTTTCCAGAACTGGTTTTAGATTGCTTATAATCGTATATCACCTTTTAAACTATACTTTTAAAATGCTTTAATTGGTATGGTGGGTGAAGTATGGACTTAGTTTCATTGACAGATTTCTTGAATGTCTCCCATGACAGTGAGCATACTGATTGTGGAAGGAGCAAGCTGCCTGGAGCTGT